ACCTGGTCGTTCTCTCGTGGCTCGCTGGCTCTTTTTGTGAGTACCCCTCTTTTATGGGCGATTGTGAGTGCATGACTAATTGAGTGATGCAGTGTTCTAAACATGATAGAAAGCTGAAACTTGGTGTGGAAGTAGCTGTTGGGGCACGGCATTCAGGAAAAATTGACTCTTTCCTGCACCTTAAGGGTGCTTTTTGTGGGGGATTGAGGGGGAGTCTTAGTTGAAATAATTTTCCGATGGAACCAAAAGTTCGTTTCAGTTGTGTCCTGTATGCTACTATGCGAAAAATTATTATTTTTCCAGTGGGGAACTTTTCGGGGAAGCTAAGTCACACACTGTCTTAACCCCCCTCCCTCAAGAAAAAACGCACTCAAATAGGTTGCATTTGAATTTCATAGACGAACTATAATGACTCGCATGCAAAAGTATGTTTTAGATACCATGGAAAGCTGAAATTTGGTCGTTTGGAAATGATTTCAGGTGGAAAATGTCATAGTGTAACGGGCCGCCGCCCTTCCAGTCATGTCGTCCAGGGGAAGGGAAAGGAGGCATGCTGATTGAGGAGACGGACGGAAGACAGTGCGATAAGCTGAGGAGACAAGGGGAAAACGTATGAGTTGACATTATCCCAGGGATGCCGGATCTGGATCACCATCCCCACTCTTCCAGAGGTGACCTCCATTCAGGATCCGGATGACAATACCTTCGGACATCCCTGTCCAGAAAACCCATGTCGCAACCAAGGGTTTATGAGACAACCTCATTTCCAAAACCATTGGTTGGACAGTTCATGTAACATGTTCGGAGATACGGACCCAGAAATTAATGAATATGATTTTATCCTCGAATGCGTTTCCCAATAAGAACTGTTCCTGGGAATTGGATAAACCAATGGGCGCGAGCTACTACCTAAGAATCCCTCCTCCAGGTACCTCCTCTGGACCCTGAGGAAAAAGGAAGAAACTTCGTCCGAGAAGTTCAGTCCCGAGTGAAGCGAGGGGACTCGGCCCTGTCCTTGATAGTGGAGTTTTCCCTCTCAGTCCGACCAGTGTTGGTGCCCCAGTTCGACCCTTAAGAGTAGGTCTCCCCGATAAATTCGCAAACTTGCTCTCTCTCTCTCTTACACGCGCTTGCCTAGGGAACCGGATAGGTCCTTATTTGTTGTCTGTGAACCTCGTGAACTAACCAAAAATTTTGCTTCTTTATATTTTGAGTACTTTTGTTGGACAACTTGGTAACATTTAAAAACTTCTGTAATAAATTTAGATATCAAACTCGGTTGTGGGATCTTCCTTTCTCGGCCGTGAACAGGCACGAACCTTTCCTCCTGATTGAAGAAAGAGATTCTGAAAAGATAATTGTCAGGCGCGGGACGCTAGGGAGCGAAATTGACTATTTGTTTTCTGTAACAACCTGCCGCAGCGCCCCGTGCCCGTGACACGTGGCGCAGTCGCGGTAGGATATTCCTAGTCAAAACTATTCTATTTCCCACATGTTTTCAACCTCCTAATTCACGTCCTACATTTGTCAGGCCGTATTTTTTTAATCGTTAGGATTTAATGTGCAAGACTCCTAGGACGAGGATACTGATGCAGTTTAAAATTCTGGTCATGATGAGCAGTTCCTTTGGAGGTGTCCCATTTTTCCACATCTCCAACAGGTCGGTCCCCCAGTCGGCCTTCCGTTTCGAGGAGGAGGAGGCGGTCGATTCCACTGCTGTTTTGGTGGCTGACGTCCTTGGCGAGTGAAAAATGTTCGTTTTGGCTGAAGTTTTTGGGGTGTACGTCCGACGGGAACGAATTCACGTTGCACTCGAGCAGCGCCGAACACACCAGGCCTCTCCATTGGCCTGTCCTTTCGTTCTTCCTGGTCTGCCGCCGCGACCATATCGTCAAAAGAGTCGTATTTCCTCCATCGCAAAAACCTCCTCATGTCCGCGCTCCTGGCCCCTTTGAGAAACCTAGCCCCTATTTTCTTTATCCTGGCTCCCCAATCTTTCATGGTCTCATTTGAATACTGAGCCATTCTGGCTAGTTCGTGATATAACGTGGTGAGATCCTCCTTTCTCTCGAATTGGGCTATCAAGATCTCAAGGATGTCTTCTAGTTTCGTGGCATCCTTCGCCTTTGGGTCCGCCGCGAGGAAAGAAAGGGCTGGTCCTGTGACCTTCAGTTTTACGATCGCGATTGCAACCTGATCCTCCCATCCCACCAATGATTTTATTGTTTTAACTTTTTCTGTGAATTCTCGCGCAGGGACTGACCCTTTTCACCAGAAAACTCTGGAATGGACCTCAAAATATCCGGTTTTCTGGACAGGGATGTTCGAAGGTATTGTCATCCGGATCCTGACTGGAGGTCACCTCTGGAAGACGCCCCTACCACTAGGTCTAGGCCGTAGGGACCCTATTACAGGGGAGTATGCAAAAGGGGAACAGAGGAGTCGAATAGTGTGACTGTTCCGTCCGTCTCCTCAATCAGCATGCCTCCTTTCCCTTCCCCTGGACGACATGACTGGAAGGGCGGCGGCCCGTTACAATCGTGGGGAGGAACTCCGAGAATCTTTTTTCGAGGAGTGTGGGGGTTACCCAGAAGTTTACTCGGTTGACCAATATGTTAATGCGGTTTTGTTGTAAAAGGTATTGTATGAAGAAAAATTACATAGAGGGTCGAGGGTTTTTCGTGAGGGTCCTTCATGAAGGTCGTAGTTCCTTCGGAGTAAAGATATCGCCACAGCTTCCTCTTTCTAACGTGAAGAGTCTCGTTGGGCTTTTTGGGCGTAATTGTCCTAAAGCCTATGGATTGTGTGAACTGCCTGGGAAATAAAACCTAAGGGTGGATTTTTGAGCAGAGCACTATCCGATAATGCAGCTTTATTTTAGAGAAAATGCATTATAAATCCGGTAAATAAAGCTGCATTACCGGATAGTGCTCTGTTCAAAAATCCACCTTAAGCCTCTGATTTCGGTGCTTTGTCCTTCCAGTGAGGACGTCCTTACCTCTGGGACTGCATCCAGGAGTTCCTCACAGACTATCGACCGGATAACTGTGCCCATAATGGACCCCACATGCTCCGACGGGTGGTTCGGTGGCTCAGCTTCAAGGTCCGTCTTTCCCTCCAGGAAGAGCTTTAACCACTTCCGGATCGTCTCATAAGCTGGACAGTGTTGGCCCCCAAAGCCATCGACGTCAGTTGATGGATTTCTGTCGGTGTGTCTTTGAGCAGAACATGGAACTTGATGATGACTCGAATGTGATGTTTCGAGAATGATTCTTGCACGACGGAGGCGTCCATAGTGACTGTATGCAATATCCGGCAGCGAGTGAAAATGTGGCTAAATTTATACCAAGCCTCGCACAGTGCATGTTATTAGATATACCCAATGCTCACCGAAATTTAATAAAGATTCTTCTAGTGCAACTCATTTTAAAAGTCAATGCAGAGAACTTTTCGGACAACCCTCGCATCTCTCAATTGAACCTGTGAAATTTGACGAGATACAAATCAGGATTAGCATGACAGAGTACTTCTTATTGCGTACTTCGTTGATGGGATAAGACCCTCGTAAGTACCTAAAATTAGTATGGATGACCTTTAACCCGAATGACCTTATGTTACATAACGTTAATTTAGGCGGAGGTTTGGAGGCCTAACCTGATTTCACACCATAAATTTACGTAAATTTACACGAAACTCAACTACTTACCGTTGGGGCAACGTTGTCCCAACCCCCAAAGAGGTACTACTGGGTCGGCAAGGCTTCATGTTACGGTTACGTCACATGAGCGCGATCACTCTTACGGCTCCCAATTTCACGTTTCGATTTCGCTGCCCAAGGGGGATTTTCTACTGGCGTCTCGAAAACAGGAACAACGGAAAACCTCCGACCTATTTTAGTACTTTGCAGCAGCATTAAGTAGCATTATTGCTCTAGAATCAGCGCGAAAAGCCACTTCACTTGCATCGCATGGAACACATTCATGCAGCAGCTGGAGCGAAAATGGCGCCCATGCGCGTCAGCCAATCCGATGCGTCGAAAAATGTGACCCAAGTTGGCCAGGATCTCTCCCTCCGGGGGCTCTATAGATGGAGAATCGGCAGCGACATCTATCTTGCGACCCTGTCAATGAATGGGATTCGAGCAGAGTGGAGCCTCTAGTTATACTCCCTACTCGATGCCATTATGCTTGTGGACGTGAATGGGGTAATAAATCTGAGAGTAACTGATGCTGGCAGAGAGCGTGGCATCTCTGTCTCGAAGACTTGCACGGAGGCAAGGACTGGGCACGGAGGCACGACTTGGAGACAAGATTTGCATGTGAATGCTCCTAGGGGCCTTCTCCGGTCACGTTTCACGGGCTCTTTCGTCGCTTCGTCGTCCGCTCTTGGCGTTTTCTTTCGGATTTGCTCCCTGCTCGTGATCGGCTAAGAAAGGGTGCGATTTCCCCCTCGGACGACGCTTTGCGATGGAGGGGGGGTTAGACTCACAGCTTCCTTCGTCCGCTTGGGTCGCCCTGTCGGTGGTGCAACCGACGTTCTTTCATTTGCACAACTATTCGGGGTGTGACTCATTCGCAACCTTGAGCTTTCGAGGAAGTTCCGGCTGGTTGCGGATTCACGGGGTCTACGGAATTCCCTCGTTGAAGTTCAGTGGATTGCGAGGGTTGCAGAATACCTCGCGGGAAGGAAGTGCAACGCGATTCAAATGAGATTTTGTATGGAAAGCTGGATGCTGACGACAGGACAGTTGGTAATTAACAACAGTGTTGCTGGTTGCGTGACGACGCGGTCACATTTCATGAGGCAATAACTGCCAGGTTGTCGGTTGAGCGACTTTATCAGCCGGATAAGAACGCGTTTGCTAAAATCGATAAGTGAAGGCGATCGAGAATTTCCTGCAATAACGGATGCTATCCGACTGTGGTGAGCTCAGCCGGGCGTGACGGATCCTAGGATCCGACAACCGTGCATAATGATCCCGTTTCATGGCGTCGCACCTCCCAAAAACCCCATAGAGAGCTTGGTGATGATCGAGGCAGGGCTTCCGCGTCTTTCCGCTGTTCGCCCGATTTCCAAACATACCGTTCCCCGTGCTGATGGCAGGAAACTTCTGGCAGAGCTCGCACTAGTGAGTTCAAGGGATTTTTTCGATTTGTGGGTTCGTTTGCCTGGCTTAGGCCTAAGAGACTGATGTGTCTTTTTTACTTTTTAGTCAACAATGGCTCCTTGATAAGCAAGACTTGCTTCGCGAGCGACACGGTGACTTGCAGATTTTTTCTGAGGAGGAGTATCAGAAGATCATAATCTTTTTTGCTAACTGTGAGTGGCTCTGAAGTAACACTCTGAGTATGCTATTTTAATAGGCCTTGGAAAAATTTAGGCAGGCCTAAACGAAAGGGCTAGGAATGGAAAAATATGAGAGTAAGACGTGCTGGAATTTTTAAAAACATAATCGGGAAACATAAAAACTAAAGTACTGTGGTTTGAAGGATGTAGGGGGAATTGTGGGGCAGTTATGTACCAAAGTGAGGGTGATGGAACATCAAATTGTATTCAAGTTTCACATCTGGACTTTCACTGAGCCTGTGCTTGACATTGGGAACCAACTTAGTGTTGACAGGCTCAGTGCCTCTTTAATGGTGAGGCTGTCAGCATAAATCAGTTTATGTATGCATTTGAATCATTATGGAATGAGTCCTTGTGCACTCATGCATGTGTAACATCTCATGAATAAGTGCCTGTGTCATTTGTCTGACTCAAGTGGAAAGGCCAGAAATTGCTTTAACATTATCTTTATTGACTATTGATTTGGGATTTCTCAAGAAAGTGTCCAAAGTAGCCAAAGGGAATCATAAAGGGTATGCTTGTATGCGTTTTGATAACTTAGATTAGAGATCCTCAATTAGGTTTTTATCAGAGTAAATGGTAACACTATATGCTGGATATTAGAGTGCATAATTATCCTTTTGCTTTCAATTCTTGAACCCATGCATTGGAATGCATCCATAAAAATTATTATAGTTACCAACATCCTTCTAATGATGTAATTACTCCAACTGTTTTGTAGGGTGTGATTGAACATCAAATCACTGATTTTTCTGTATACTCCATGTTGCCTGTGGAGGCTTCGATCAAGTTGTGCTTTCCTATCATATGGAACTTATGATTGCTTTGGCAATGAAGGGGGAAAAAATAGAGTGATATGAATTTGAGAAACTCTGGATTATTTAGATATTTATAAGTGCAGTATTTGCATGATCTTTCTTCAACTTCAGTAGAGGAAATGAGGCATTGCTGATGTTTTTTTGTTAATTAATGATGACATGCATGTTGATGGTTTGCAGTTATTCAAGTGTTGGGAGAACAGCTGAAACTGAGGCAACAGGTGATTGCAACAGCAACAGTGTATTTCAAGAGGTTTTATGCTCGTAATTCCCTCAAGTGCATCGATCCCTTGCTGCTTGCACCCACGTGTGTGTTCCTTGCCTCCAAAGTTGAGGAGTTTGGTGTCATTTCCAGCAATCGACTCATATCCACCTGTCAAGCTGTTGGTAAGTCTACTGCCATGAGAGTTTTTGATTTTTCCATTAATTTATTGTCAAATATTCTTCCTTTCAAAATTTTGGGCACATTTTTCATCTGGAATGCACTACCTGTGTCAGTCAAGTGCTTTATATATATTCAATGGAAAACATTTCATGAACTTGACCCTGAAACAAATAGATGCTTATGAGAATTCTTTTGATGTTAGTTGATGTTTAAAATTACTAAATTAGAGTTGATCCTTTTTCTTGAATGTGGCCCTCTATCTGGCAGATTCAGTGCTATTTGTTTCTAATGGAAATATTTGAAAAGCATCAGTTATGGTGTTTGAAGTAGGAAAAATGCATACAGAAACTGAAAAACTTGCACAAAAAGTTATTTTTGAAGAAAGGTAAGAATGGCTAAAGTGGTTAATTTATGTTTCACATGTTTAAATTTATCTTAAAATAGGTGCTAATTCTTTTCATTGCATTTTATCTGCCTGTTGGTATTCAGTTTCGTACTATGGATATTTTTCTGTTTTATATTATGAAATTTTGAAGTCCGAAAATGTTCTCCATAGAAGTATATCATCTACTAAAGTTGTGGTGTTCATATGATTGCAGTGAAGAACAAGTTGAGCTACGCAGTGAACCAAGAGTACGCATATCGGACGTCCCACATCCTAGAATGCGAGTTCTACCTTCTAGAGATGCTCGATTGCTGTCTGATTGTCTACCAACCATACAGGTGATTATTACCTTCTTAGGCCATGGCATGTTTTGAGTCAAGCCCAGCAATTAATATATTTTAAAATTTAAGCTGCTTTCTGATGGTCTGCATTTTCAAATCTGGGTGCATATTCAATATGTCCCTATGCCTCATGGGACAATGTGAAGAAAAGAGCTTAGCTAGGAGTTTTGTGGGTGACTGTTGTCTGTTGTATTATTATATTGTATAGTGACTGATATTATTATGGTTTAGGTGTACTTTTTTTCTGGTCAGAAGGTGTTTACACTGTCCTGAAATAAGCAAGTCCAGCTTAAGAATGCATTTGTAAATTGTAGGTGGATTCGGAAGACCTGTGGTTGAAGAAGTTCATGTTTGATACAAGATAAAATTTGTACTTACAGTCTTGGTTCTATTCTTGGCAGGCCCTTAATTCACTATGCCCAGGACATGGTTCCCGGGGATGAGAATTTGCTATCTTTGGCCTGGCGAATCGTCAATGACAGTCTCCGCACCGATGTCTGCCTTCTCTATCCACCTTACATGATTGCCCTTGGTGCCCTGCATATGGCATGTGTGGTCACATCCAAGGAAGGAGCCAAGCAGTGGTTTGCTGAGCTGAGCGTGGACCTGGAACAGGTCCTCGAAATCACCCGACACCTCCTTGCACTCTATGAGCTGTGGAAGCACTTTGACGAGAAGAAGGAAGTTCAACATCTCCTGTCCCGCATGCCCAAACCCCGAAACCAGCCATCTAGGTGACTGAAGCCTTGAAATCCAACAAAATGAGGACCTCTATTTTTCTTATGTCAGGATTAGTTCATAGTTCTCTTATTTTCTGTTTCTTATGGAAAGTTCTTATCTTTCAGGTGTGAGTAATTTGGGCCTAGTTATTGCCCTCAAAATGAGAAGTTCAACAGAGCCTGCATAAATGTTCTCATCAATCCTGATGACTTTTTTCTAGACTTCTTTTCAGTAGGCAGTTTATCAGAATCCCATTTTTGCATTTATTCAAGTCTTTTGCATTATGGGTATTGTTTATAATTATTATATTTGTTTTACTTCATGACCTTACAATCCAAAACTTGGATTTTTTCCTAAGAGAATAATTAAAACCAGACTATCTTGTAGAATTCTGGATATTTTTGATAAAAATAATAAGATTTAGTAGATCTAAAAAAGTATAAAGATGAAGTCTCTTGGAAAGTGACCTTAATGGTTCATTCTTATATATTTATTCATTTATGTATTTTTCCTCTTTGACAGACCCCCATCCCAGGCACAAGTGCAGGACCCTAACTCCATGGGCCAGGACTCCATGAATCAAAACTCTCAGGGCAATTCCCTTAACAACCAGAAGTGAACGTCTTCAGATCATGACTCGATCTGCAGTGATAACATTTGTGTCAGTGTTTTTATGTGCTTTTCTGAGTGGGTGTGTGTCCTCACAAGTGGATGTCCAGTTTTCCACTCAGATTGTAGAAGGTGAATACATCATTGCATTCACTGGTTACTACAAAGCAGAGACTCGACGCCAATACATTCGAGCTGCTTTGGGTAAACTCAGCGTTCCCTGGCAGATCCAAGAACGAAATAATCCTGCCAGTGACTATCCAAGTGACTTTGACCTTGTGAAATTCGAAGGAGAGTGTGGGAAAACATGTATGGATTCTTTGCTTGGGCATCCGTGTATAAAACGTGTCACACCACAGCGACTGGTCACACGGACCTTGACATATCACGATGAAAATGATTCCCTACTCTACTACAACGAAAGTGATGGTCATGCAACACCGTTCTGTCATAACAGGAAGCTATTCCTCAACAATCATTCCCGGTACCGTTCGCGCAAGCTGCTTCGTTCGATCCCACATCAAATCACGACTGTGCTTCAAGCCGATGTGTTGTGGAATGCAGGTGTTACTGGTGCAGGGGTGAAGGTGGCTGTATTTGACACAGGTTTGTCAAAGAACCACCCTCACTTCAAGAAAATCAAGGAGAGGACAAACTGGACTAATGAAAAAACCCTTGATGATGGATTAGGGCATGGGACCTTTGTAGCTGGGGTAATTGCTTCGCACAAGCAATGCCTTGGCTTTGCACCTGATGCCGAACTCCACATTTTCCGTGTTTTCACCAATAACCAAGTGTCATACACGTCTTGGTTCTTAGATGCATTCAACTATGCAATTCTAAAGAAAATCAATGTCCTGAATCTGAGTATTGGTGGACCAGATTTTATGGATCACCCCTTTGTGGACAAGGTGTGGGAATTGACTGCCAATGGGGTAATAATGGTCTCTGCAATCGGAAATGATGGCCCTCTCTATGGCACCCTAAACAACCCAGCAGATCAAATGGATGTGATTGGAGTGGGTGGGATAAATTTTGAAGATCAAATTGCCAAGTTTTCCTCACGAGGGATGACAACGTGGGAGTTACCGGAAGGGTATGGCCGGGTGAAGCCCGACATTGTTACTTATGGCCTATATGTTCAGGGATCAAGTGTGAAAGGAGACTGTCGCTCACTGTCAGGAACCAGTGTTGCCTCTCCTGTGGTTGCTGGAGCTGTGACCCTTCTTGCTAGTGGTGTTCTCCACCGTGGGAATATCATCAATCCAGCCAGCATGAAGCAGGCCTTGATGGCCTCAGCCCGTCGTTTGCCAGGAATCAACATGTTTGAGCAGGGTCATGGGAAATTGGACCTCTTGAGAGCTTTCCAGCTTCTCACATCTTACAAACCACAGGCAAGCCTAAGTCCAAGTTACATTGACTTGACGGAGTGTCCGTACATGTGGCCATATTGCACTCAACCATTATATCATTCTGCAATGCCATCTATTGTCAATGTGACAATATTGAATGGAATGGGGGTGTCAGGGCGACTTGTTGAACCACCAAAATGGTATCCATATATACCACAGAATGGTGATTACCTTGATCTGTCATTTTCATATCCAGAAGTCCTTTGGCCCTGGTCTGGTTTCCTAGCAATCCATATTAAAGTATCTGAGGCAGGTCGAGACTGGGAGGGGATTGCCCAGGGACATGTGAATATCATTATTGAGTCGCCACCTGAAGACGGAGAAGAGCAGCCGCGAAGATCAAATTTGACCTTGCCTTTGAGGGTAAAGGTCATCCCAACCCCACCTCGTCATAAGCGCCTACTCTGGGACCAGTTCCACAACCTTCGCTACCCACCTGGGTACTTCCCACGTGACAATCTACGCATGAAAAATGATCCTCTGGATTGGAATGGTGATCACATTCACACCAACTTCAAAGACATGTACCAGCACCTGAGAAATGCTGGATATTATATTGAGGCCCTGGGGTATCCATACACATGCTTCAATGCCAGCAATTATGGCACTCTGCTTTTGGTTGATTCAGAAGAGGAGTTTTTTCCTGAAGAGATGGCCAAACTGCGTGGTGATGTTGACAATGGTCTCTCACTTATTGTCTTTGCTGATTGGTACAACACAACTGTGATGAAGAAAGTGAAGTTCTACGATGAAAACACGCGGCAATGGTGGCTGCCAGACACGGGTGGAGCAAACATCCCAGCTATCAATGATCTTTTGGCATCATGGGGCATTGCATTTGGTGACACAGTCCTTGATGGTGAATACACTCTTGGACATCATCAGATGTATTATGCATCAGGAACTAACATAGCTCGCTTTCCCGAAGAGGGACGGGTCATTGTACAAACCTTGAAGGACCAAGGTGTAGAGGTCCTTGAGGGTGACACAACTGTCTCTGAGAAAGGTGCCATTTTGGGCACTTTCCAAAGCAAGTCAACTGAGAGTTCTGGTCGCCTTGTGGTCTACGGAGACTCCAACTGCTTGGACAATGCACATCAGCAGAAAGACTGTTTCTGGCTGCTTGAAGCCATGTTGGAGTATACCTCAAGTGGGAAACTCCCAGCTGTCTTGTCTGATTCAAGTGAATCACCCTTGCCACCCTTACTGGAACTCCCACAGCGAATGAAGGGGTCGCATCTGCATCGCTATAGTAAAGTCTTAGAGAGCAACCTGGGATCGTCCGATGACACGATGGGGCATGCCCGACCGATTCCCGGTTGTCCAAAACTTGAGTTGGCACTGCCAATTCCAATCAACATGTCTGCCCCTACAAACTTATTCAAAACAACCAGGCTCCTTTCAGTTGCGCCGGGTTGGGAAGCACCGCTTCACCTGAGGCACAAGCTGCAGATTGGCATGGAACCACTGCATTCAGACTTCCCTATGCTTTTACAAGCTGAGCGTGCAGCCCATACCCCAACAATTCCTGTGTATCTTTGGCTAGCCATGCTGGCAGTGATGGTGGTACTCCTCTACCGTTTCTACATGTACTGGAACAGGCCGAGGCGGAAGCGTACCCGCTTCAAGAAGCTCCTTCGGGTCTTTGTCCCTCAGAATAATGTGTAATGGGTTTTCTTCTGGGCTTTATTTCTTTACCTCATTTCGAGCATTCTAAGTATTGATATTTTTGTTGTGAACCTTGTGGGAGACTTCACATTTTTTCATTTCTAATTTGATTGTAATATGTAAGGAACATCGAGCAAATAGTGAAACACCACAATGGGGTCTATGTTTGCCTTCTAGATGGAAACTTAAGGTGATTTTTTTCTGGAAGTGCTTGATATGGCTATGAACCTATGGGCAAGTAACTTGAAACGTGGGATGAGTTGCTCAAGTTATCTAGTTGGCTGTCTACATAATGAAAGTGTTCCATCCATCCTCTGAAAGATGACAAATATTTAATTGCTTTTGAAGTATAATGGGACTTCTCCAGATTCACTGGACTGAATTCTCTCTTTCAACACATTATAGCCTCCAGTAAATGCAGAAAATATGGAATTTTAATATTGGCAAAATTTTCATCTAGCATGAAAAGTTGTAATGATTATTATTGTGCTATAATCACTGGTTTTTTTACTTTCAACTACAACTTCATCTCTGGAGGTTTCATTGAGTTTCATTTCAGTGTCATTCTTGTAAGTTAAGTCTATGAATGTAAGAGATTGGTTAGTTTGGGCAATTATTTGGCTCACATCTGGACAATTTTCAATTGCTGTCACTCCCCTTTTTTTCTAAATCCTCTCCTTTGAGTAAAAACCAGTTGCTTAGTCTGAAATGAATATCTGTGCCTACTTTCCCTTGGTCACATTTCATATCACCTTGTAATTGTGGTGAGTGGGATTGGTGCACTTTTGATAAATTGAAGTTGAAATAGGATCTGTTGGAACATGATGCCTCAACATATCCATTACTTTCACTTTGTTACTTTGCATCTCCTAGGTCTCTTATTGCATGATCCACTTATGATGAACTTAAGTTATACTGGTTTTTGTATGTCTGATTGATGTTTTCATGATAGTTGTGTTTGCATATTGGAAGAACTCTTGTTGAGAAGTAAGTTCAGCATGCAATTCAAGAGAAGTTATAAACTCCTGAATGTTTGGAGAAAAAAGAAGGCATTGATGGGTAATGCCATCATTGAATGATGGCCTTTGGTGTTTGGTAGATTTTTAGATCCTGTGTGAATCTTCCTCAGTGTTGGTAATTGGAATGCCAATGAAAATTCTGTTTGAAGAGCAGAGGGTTTATAATGGATCAAATTTGTTGCAATGCTCTTGAATGATGTTGTTCATGGTTCACCATATGAACAGTGTTCTTTTTTTTCTTGCCCACTTGATTGACATTGCTAAAGCAGGGTTATGATTGGGGTGTCTCCTTTGAATGTTGTCATTTGGGGGAAGTTCATACCAAAGATAAATTCATTGTGTGGTGATGATGTACTACACAGTTTGGTTGGAATGTCACATTGTCCAAGTTACCTGTATTCCCTGTTGGACACATCAACAACTCAATTGTTTTGGTTACTATTTTCAATTTTGTACTTGTGGGCTGAGATTCTTCCTGGTTATTGAGACAAGAACCTTTGCCAGGCCAGAGTCATTGCTCATAAAATTGATAACTGCTGCATGTTGCCTCACGATATTGTCCTTTCTGGGGAAATGTTCTTGCAGTAGCAGTCCATGAATATTGGGGGTATGGCAGGCATTAGAACCCAGTTGGACCTTAAGGAAATGGAACACTGCATCCACTGCTGTTCTCACTGTCTCCATTCTTAGTTTTCTGTGATATGCTTCAGTGGGTCTAGGAATAAATGCTCTGTTAGCAATTTTATGTCTCTTGTGTCACTAAAAAATGAAAATTTCCATGAGGAAATGCTTTAATTTTATTAGCATTTGTTCTGCATTCTGTTATTTCAATGCATGAATTATTTCCTTTCTACAAGGGTTGCTATTATGTTCATGGAATTGTTTACTACAGAAGTTGCAAACCTGAGATATCAATACTTAGTTCATATGCCCTTTCCACATAGCCCACTGCAACTCCAAAGCAATTTGTGAAGCCATTATTTGTAGCCAGATAGTATGCACTTCATAAATTGTTGGTAGCACCCATTACTAACCTCTGCTTGCATGCCACCTGTTGGTTGAATATTGCTGGGATTCTGCGATTTTGAGTTACAGTGCTGGGAAGGACCAGAAATCAGTGTGTAATCCTTTTTATAGCTGCATGGGTGAATCTCACACTGCCATTTGTCTCCATAGCAATGCAGACTTTGTGAGGTCATTCATTGTTCGTGTGCAGCAGCATTCCATGCAGAATCATACCTGGTCTCAACTTCAGTGCCAGGTGAATGTCGGAGTGCAATAAATGGTACCTTGGGCTTTTGCTTGCACAAGGCTTCATATGTAAAGCTACTTGCCATTTTTTATCAGCAGAAGTTGGCCATTGGTGTCACAAACAGATGACAGAATCAGTCCATAATGGCTTTTGCTGTGAGTTCACAGTTGTAGAAAATGGTTTTGCAGTTGGAGAGAACTATGTGAAAATGGCATGCATGGGTCAAAGTCTCCATATGTCAAGTTTGCAAGTTTCTCATAATTTCCTGAGCTTCATTAGCAACACTTTTGTACCTTTTCTGAAGTTGGCCCCAGGATGTGTCACACATGCTGGCAGGGAGCTTGAGGAAGGACCCTGCATTTATGGCTGACATTCACTTCTGGGTCCTCATTTATACAAATGAATTTTAGAGTAGTCAGCAGGACTTGTAGTGAAGAATTAAACTTGTTTCATTGAAGCCTTGTTTTGTGCTGCATTTTGGTTGATTCGTTTCAGTGACATGTACTTGAGTTTCATTTCCTTCCCTCTGATGAAGACAGGAATGAATGATGAAAAAAGTTTGAGTACTTTTTACCATTCCTTTATGAGTCAAAAAGTGTTCATTCCACTCCTAGTAATTCACAAACCAACCATGGAAGTTTTACCCCCTTGGAGCTTTCACGAATTGCCTAGAAAATAATTGTTCTACACATATGATCTGCCCTTTTCACCAAACTTGAAATACTTCACGTCTATTTCCTATTACTATTTCTTCACATTACAGTGTTTTTCTTGTAGAAAAATGGAATTATTTGAGGAAGCCTCTTGGAAATGAGTTAGGTAAGTGGCCAAAGAGCATTGATGGTCAAGGTTCTTCTAATTCTGGCAGTTGCTAAAGAAAGATGTCAGAAGACACAGAGTGGAATGATATACTGCGGGCTAAGGGAATCATCCCGCCAAAGCCCAAGGAGAAGGAAGTCACTGAGGAGGACCTCGTCCAGCTTGTAGAGACCACCATCCAACAGAAATCTAAGGGTGAGTTTCATTTCCAGTTCTCCATGCCAGCTGGGAGAGTCTTGCTTATCTTGTAACCATAATACTGTTTACTGATGCTCCAGGCCATAGGCTAACTGTATCTTTCTTGCTGCCTGGCAGTCACATGGGTATTGAGGGCCAAAGTGGTGTTAAACATTGCCATTTATTTGTGTGGGAATGTCTTCTTTTTAGTAACTAAAGAGTGTATTTTTTACTAATACATTGCAGTGATGTTTATGGTCATAGTTGGTAAGCTCAACTTCTATTATTGAGGTTTGGTTCTGTTTTTACATCACCAAGGAATCCATATTTTACATTAGATGTTAATTCAATGGCCTAAACTGGGGAAGAGTGATCTCTTGAGAGTGAAGATCTTTAGTTTGGTCATTCTTTATGGTTATAAAGTGTAAAGCTGGTTCATTACATGTTTCTCACAGGGAATGAGAAGAAGGCACCAGAGGAGATGACAATGGAGGAGCTGGAGGAAGCATTGGAGGAAGACGAAGAGTCAGAGAGAGCTTTTCTTGCCTACCGTGCCCAACGTGTTGCTGAGCTCAAGGAGCTAACCCAAAGGAATAAATTTGGGGAAGTCAAGGAGATATCAGCTGTGGATTACGTTGATGAAGTCAACAAAGCTGGAGAAGGCATCTGGGTCATTCTTCATCTTTACAGACAGGGGTGAGAGATACTTCATCTTCATCAGGCTTCACTCATTGTCTTGGTTCATTTAATTCATTTTGTATTTATTATGTTATCTGTTAGATTATAGGTCCTACCCTCCTTATTTTAGCAAAGAATGGAAATACTTGTATCTAGGGGTCAGGTAACTGCCTGAATATTTACTATTTCAGCTTAATTATGTTAAGTATTGTTTTTTTTTATTGTTAAATTTATCAAAAGATTTTCAGCTTTTTAAAAAAATACATTTTGCTGGCCAATCTTGGAATTTCATTTCCTTTACTATATTCGTTTCTTCAGTTTTACTATTTAATAGCCAACCCTCAACTCCTTAGAAGAGTGAGAAGTAACTATTTTTGCTTTTATTATTTAGTCATACATTTGAAGAGTTTAACGCCTATTACCTTTCTTCAACCCCCTCCCGTAGCAAAATACAACCTCCGCGTATTCCTCTTTGAGCGTCAACAGGAACGAAATTAGGCTTGTTTCTTCCTCGTTCAACATAGAATAGCTCCAGCAAATTTGAACCTCCCTCTCCACGGGGTTATGGTGAACACTGAATCTCGCTTTTGGTAGATGTGAATTTCATTCTTTCCCCCCACCCCCTCCAATGGGTAGACACTCTTCAGTATCAATATGAATTTATTTTGGCATATAAAGCGGTGGACACTATGACAATCAGGAAACATGGATCAGGAATACATCAGGAACAAAACACAACAAAAGGAAATAAGGCAGATCTAGGAAATAAAGAACAAATCACGAGCGAAAACAAGGAAGGCTGTCGTTCAAAAGCTGGCTTGGTTACTCCGGTACCTTCCCCCAGTGTTGCCAAATACCGTGCCGAAATTATGCCAGATTTAAGACTTCACACTTTATATCGGTTCTGGATCTTCTGTTTTTTATGCGTGAGACATTTTTGTGCTGAGTTCTTGAGTTGAGCTGAGAAGCAGTTTTAGTGATTCATCAATGTGGTGGAATATGGAGATATCTTATCCCTACATCCCTGTGGATGGCACGCACAATGGCTTTCATGCTTCCTGGAGGCGTTCCCACTTCACACCTATTCGAGAAGGTCCGAGGAACTCCACAGGGGCCTAACGTTCCACGTCCGCTCTGAAATGGTTCATGAAACGCGAAAGAGGCCTCAAATTGGTCTAACGTAACACATCCCATCTGAAATGTTTGGTGAAATTATGAATAGGCCTGCGATTGACCTAACGTTACTCGTCCACAGCGAGATGTCCCGAAGACGAAGGATTCACCCTTATAGGTCTAATTGGCCCCGTAAGTGGAGAATTTAGTTTCTTTTGTAATAAAAATGTTAGGTCTTGGCGTGATCTAACGGCAGTCTGTTGGTTAGGCCTAGTGTAACACCTCTAGCAGACGATGTCCCGTCCGGTTTTTCACATGAGCTGATGCCGCAAGGGTCAGAGGGTGCAATCCAGTGTTGTAGGCTGAGTGTCACTCCTTTTGAATAGGCTTGCACGTGCAGTCGTATGAACATTTCAAAATAGGGTCAAGCATCCCTGCTTTACAATCTGCGTCGCAGAAAGACGTCCTGTTGGCGGGGCAGTCGTCTTCCGGTTCTCTTTTGGATCGCTGCTTTGCTGGTCCCCTATTCGGGCACGACTGTTCTCGTCCTGCTGTTCTTTGCCATCGCATCTGACCCTCCCGTTCTCTGCCGTTGCATCTGACCCTCCTTCGCTCCCCGCATCTGGGATTCCTCCTGAAAGGACCCTCCTCTTCTTTGCTGCATTTCCATCGGTATGGCTAACTGTTTGAATTCTTTGTGGATGGCGGAGCGCCGAAAAACTGCTGAATTTTATGTAGGAGGCCGAGTGCCGATGTAGTCCTCTGCGTTAGGCCCTAAGTGAATTTTATGTAGAAGGCCGAGCGCCACATCTTGATAGGATTTAAGTGATTTTGTAGATGGCCGAGCGCCTGTTGCCGGTACCTGAACTGTCAGAAGTCAATTCCTGAGCACTCCCTATAGTTACTGTGATGTGATGTTGGAATAGAGGAACTTTATTTTCCTGTCTTGTTGCCTTATTCCAAACGCCTGAAACGGACCCAGTGCAGGTGGTTGTCTGCAGAAACAGGTAACAACGCCTGCGTTACACTAGGCCTACGTTTGTGCGTCTTTTAGGGAAGGGTTGGGGTTGTAGAAAGGGAAAGCGTTGAAAGTTGGTTTTCACATTGCTTTGGAAGTTAAATGAATATGTTTAGAAAATCAGGTATAATTATACACTCCAGGAATATATTCTTTGTTGTATATCACATCCTTGAGGTATTAATTTGGCTTGTAATCAAGGATGCTGCTGCACTTTTGTGGAGCAAATATGAAATGACATCTACTGGCTCGAAGAGGCAGGGAAAAGGAGAGCCATCTCCACGAATGCACTACAGGACAGCCCCATGTTGCATATCATTTGGCCAAGGCCAGCATGCCTCGTCAGAGGTGTAAGTGTACCCGTAGCTAATGATAATTTCTTTTAGAGGTGTAACTAATTACTCTTGTTTCACCTAAAATACTTCTAAATATAACAGAAGGCTGTTCTTTGGATAATTTATTGTTAGCACATTTTGCAAATTGCATTCTTTCCTGCAAGTTTGAGACACTTTTTCACAGGGACACTCCTGTAACTACCCCTCTGAAAATGTGAATGAATACTTATGCTTGGGAGGAAATTCCTTATTCACACAATTGTAAATGGAAGGATCACAATTTTGTTGGAGCAAATTTAGTACCCTCATGTTTCCTAGATTTATGAATTTATTTTGTGAGTGTTTTCATGTTTAGTTATTCCCACCAAGAATCTTACTTAACCCTTCCATGGCTGAATTGAGTATATGAATAACATATTTTTTTCTACTGATTTTCTCTTTATATGCATTTGATTCAATATGCCTGAATAACAGCTTGAATAAGAAATTAAATTTTTTTCGGATTGAATTGGTACCCCCCTACTGGAGAAAACACAAGCTTTCCAGACGATCCTCTAGATGTCAAGCCTGATGCTCCACATGGTTGTTGGATGGTTCTATTAATACTTCACCTTCCACCCACAAGGTGTCCTGACTGCACTTGATGGAAGTGCTCCTAGGGGGTGGTACCAATTCATTCTGAAAACAGTGTGTGTATAAGCAAATAGCCCTTGTTGAGAGCTATTAAATTGTACTATTTAAAACTGATATTTAAAATTTAAGTAATGCAAGAGCAGTCTTAAAAGAATCATCCTCATAATGATCATACACCATAAAAGGATTAAGTAGTCATGTTTAATTATCACCATATATGATCCTGGTATGATCTGTGTGGATTTCCATGGTAGAGAAAAATTGGTATGTATTCATGCAAAAGTCACAATTGATATAAGGTGGATTACGGTTCCAGGCCTCAAGTATGATTGCTTTTGTCCTTAATACTTATACTATCTCCCTCATCCTTCATTCATTTCAAAGTTAAATTGCTTGTATCCTTCTGATAACTATCTTAAGATATTGTATTCAAATCCAAAGGAAACAAGTAGAATAGGTAGGTTTGGCATTGGAGTTTTTCTACATTGAGTAACTTTGAGAATTGACTTCCTTGACACAAATTAATTTTGGCATATGCAGACATTTTGTCCAGGAACTTGAGATTTGACATGGTAATTTCTTTTATATTTAAGAGTCACAATATGGAGAGCAGTGAAAAGATGTCCACAAACGCAAGGATACACTCTTTCTGGATTTAATTTTCTCCCCTATAGGTGGACTTCCATTGATTGCAGGTAGTGATATCTTTCACATGGGTGGTTTTATCTATCACCTGCTGAGGCAGAACCTCTGAAAATGTGTGTTTTCTCCAGTCTCCACTGTAGGGGGTGAAAAAAATTCAATCCTGAAACAGTGTAGTATTCTACTCTCATACCCCTACCATGACAATAAGAGCATGAGGTTGGAAGGAAGGTGTGATGATAGCCAACATGTGGCACATTTCCTGAGCTTTGGCTGGGTTGCATGAGCTATCACCTGGATTTTCTGGTGGATTGTGAATAATTAAATAGCAGGTATCTTGGCCCATGAACTAGTCTCTGATGAAGGTGTTACTATTCTCTAGGCCTTGCTAAGTTATGCAGGGTGATTGTGATTTTTCCATGCAAAGTGGAGTGATAGCATTTGTGGGATGTTATGGGAGCCTTTATAGATTCTAGTTCCAGATGTATCATAGAAGCAACTGAATTTTCTTGTCCATATTTTCAATGCTGTGTTCGCTCTTTGTTAAAGTCATAATCCTGTTTTGAAATAATGAGATCTGTGAGTAGTACTCTCATCTGGTAACAAGATATGTCTTGATGATTATATTTCATCCACTTGTTTTTTTTTTCTCTCCTTACTAATCTTCAGTTTCAGATGCTTGTATGTTATCTATCTGGTCTGATGCTCAACTTTAAAGCTACATCTATCTGCCAATTTTCACCCCTCCAGTTTTCTGTCACTAGCTTGTTCATGAAACAAAAAATAGTTTATTTCCCCGGTCAATGTCCATGTCTGTCTGATGCTTTGTATTACATTTTCAACAAAGGCTGATGCTTTTCCTGCAAGCATTTCATCTTTCACTAGTCAATTTCGAGAGAGAGTCTCCTGATTGATTTACTTTTCATTTTCATGCCTGATAAGGTTGATGGGACTGATGATAATGTGGAGGGAGGGGATTTGGATGGCCCTTGATAGAGTTTAACAATGTCCAATTTCCCAATATCATCCTTCCCTTAGCTCCACTCCTATACTCAAGTTTTCTCCATCACTATTTTGCCATTTCAATGAGAAATATGAATGATGCTGGGTAATGTGAACATATCAAGAATGAAAAATATACCAACATATCCGATTGATGGGAGAATGACTTTTCATTGTATGTATGCTGTAAAGTATCTTCTTTGAAATACAAAGTTATGATATGGTAATTTATAACACCTACAATTACGTATCAATTTGGACTTAAGACCTTTCTTTTGAAATGTTCTTTGTGTTTTGGCCAGGATCCCAGAATGTGCGTTGATCAACCAACATCTTGCAGTGCTGGCACAGAAGTTCCCTGAGACAAAGTTTTTGAAAAGCATTGCCTCTACATGCATCCCAAACTATCCTGACAAGAATCTCCCCACTCTCTTCATTTACTTTGAGGGCCAGATGAAGAAGAAATTTATTGGACCTGACCAGCTCCATGGGACAAAGCTCACCATTGATGGTCTGCTGATAAGAACTAGAAATATAATTATTGAGTTATTTTAGTGAGCATAGGAGTCTGCCCAAGATTCCCTGAATGAATATTTATATTAAAGTTGAATATTCCTTAATACTAGTACCAACAAAGCTCATTCATACCTATCCAGAAGTTGCTGAGATATAGTTTTCCTCACAGTGGTGCAGATGGTCACAAGTTTTTGCTAAACAATCTTATTCAGATGTATTGTCATTTTTTCCTATTTTTGTCTTCCTATTTTGAGTACCAGTTACTATTTAGCTAATTTATGACTCCAAAGGACTAGGTGCATTTGCAATATGGTACTAAGCCACTTAAGTATCAATATGAAGGTATTACTACAAAATTGTTCATCCTTTACTTATGACTGAAGTCATTTATATCATGCTAAAAAAGCTACTGCTTGAGGAGGCTGTTTCTGTCCATGTGAATGTTCATCTATGGGGATCTTTATCTCAATCATAGAACACCTATTTTTTACAATATAAAATCATTCTTGGTGCTCATGGCTTTGCATTGCCTTTGAGGGAGGTCTTCAGCTTGATCTCTATTATTTGACTGCTGTTAGCATGACCACAGCTGATTTAATATAACTACTTGCTCAAGGTGTAAAATAATTTATTGGATATGATACGTGTGATATTCCTTTCCTACTAAAATTCACAATGAAAAAAAGTGTCTCAAAAAGCTTTCTTTAGAAGAGAAAATAATGTTTAAGGTTCTATATACAATTTAAAACTTTTTCTGGATAGTAAAGCATGCCCATCAAATTGAAGATGAATTGAAAGTGACGTTCACCTTTGCAACAGAGAATCGAGTGTCTTAAGCTCTCACATGCAATGGTGAATATTCTTTAACTCTTTTGCTGTGCAGTAGAATTAATAAGAGTTAGGAAGGACTAGCTGCTATGTGAAAAAAGTTGATCATCACAGTGAAAGAGTTAATGATTCTGTTTGGAAGAAAGGTAAATTGTTGCCTTCCTGAAAATGTTTCAAGGTTGCATATTTTCCCTTTTCAGACATGTCAGATTAGATTACCTAGACAATATTTATTGTTTTTCATCTTGAATTTTTTAAGTTTTTTGTGCAGTTGCACATTTCTTTTTTTAATTTTGTGGCTGTAGTGCATTCATTTTGAAGTAACCCTTCTTCCATTGTTGATTATGTGTTTTGCCTTGCAGAACTGGAATGGATGTTGGGGAAGGTAGGTGCAGTGAAGACAGAGATAGAAGAGGACCCAAGACCCAAGATAAAGGATGCTCTGTCACAGGCCCTAGGTGCTAATCTCCAAGGTGCTTCTTCAGATGAGGATGATTGGTGACTCCAAATATAGCTTTTTATTGTGTTAAGACAATGGTTTTCTATCAAAGTGCCGAAATATACTGACTCAAATTTCTTGGTGAGTGAAAATGAAGCAATGCCATTTGATTATTTATTGCCTGAAATTGTGAAAAATATCCATTTTTACTAACATTTAATAAAAAATTGAATTTGGAAGGAACTGTTTATGTTCTTGCAATGGTATGTGTTTGACTTAATTTTTAGCCTCTTCTGAGTTGTCTATCCTCCAAGGCTTGTTGAGAAAAGAATAGTTAGCTTTTGGAATTGTTTGTGCCTATTAGAGCTTTTGTTGAACAATTATGACAGAAGAAAATATTGGGAGTATGGAGAAAGCTTATGGTATGAATTGTGTCATGGGCATTTTTTATTGTTTGCATGTAGTCTACCATTTGATTGTTTTTTTTATGTAGTGTACCTCACAGTAGAAGACTGTGTTTCTGAGTGAAAACTTAAACTTTATGTACCCCTGAAAAAACTGAAGTTGGCCTTATTTATATTGCTCGTCATATGCATTATGACAACCATTGCAATACTTTGGAAATCTGTTGGTAGTCAGTGGTACTACTTCCGGTGCTTTTCCCCGTGGGATGGTTGACATGAGTAGGTATGGTGTGGTAGTCTGTTGCATGTGGACTGATATTCATCTAGATCACTCTCAATGGTAGTCTCATTGCTAGAGTTTGGATTACTTTAGAGCAGTAAGCAAGCTACTGCAATAGGTGGATTGTGACAAATGAGGCAAGTTCATTTGTAGAGCTGTTAGGGTTGTCAGTAGGTAGCTGATTCCATGGTTGACTTATGGAGAAATTCCATTGTATTCCGCAGTGTGGACGTGTCAGGGATTAGTGAGGAATCTAGGCTTCTGTTGGAGGGTACAAGAGTAGTTTTACACAGCTTTGGCCCTCTTTTGCACAACATAGTGTTGCTCAATTTTTAATCCAATGATTGCTATTGAAAAAAGTATTGCTTGGAGCTCGTGCATGCATAAAGGGCACGTTGAAACCACTTGAATACATAGAAAAAGCGATTTATCTTTCAGACAGGTTTTGAAGTTTGAAGGGGAAACAATTCTCTTGAGCAGATGAACTCTGACGTCATCATTAAATCAAGCTGCCGCAAACATCTCTTAGATGACAGGATGGATCTCGTACCCACGTGTGATGGGCTACGTGTAGTGTCTCGAGTACGAGGCAATGTAGAGCCGATGAAGTTATTGTCAAATTCATGGGCTCCTGTGATCGAGGTGGTCCCACAGATTCTCGATTGGGTTCAAATCCGGGGAATTTGGTGGCCAGGGGAGTACGGTAAACTCATCGTCGTGCTCTTCGAACCACGCACGTACATTGCGAGCTGTATGACACGTCGCATTGTCCTGCTGGTAGATGCCGTCGTTCTGAGGAAACACAATCCGCATGTAGGGGTGGACATGGTCCGCAAGGACAGATGCGTACTTCTGTTGATTCATCGTGCCACGTGCCGTCCACAATGATGAGTGCACCCAGCGAATGCCACGAAAACATTCCCCAGACCATAATGCTCCCTCCTCCAGCTTGAACCCTTCCGGCAAGTGTGGCAGGGTGTTTCCTTTCAGACGTTTCATGCCGAATACGGCAACGTCCATCTGTCCGATGGAGCATAAAACGTGATTCATCGGAAAAAGCCACCTGTCGCCACTCAGTGGACGTCCAGTTGCGATACTGGACATCGGTCCATTCCATGTACCGATGGATGTTTCACATTGTCGGACGCAGATTCCGCAATTTTTCGCTGGCACGGCGAACAGACCTTCTTGGGGCTGCGCTCGAAGGCTTCATGTAACCTTCAACATGGCATCTCATGTTGAAGGCCTATCCGACATCATCTCTTTCAGCACATCTACTGGTCCTTAAATTGCTTCATCCACCGGTAAATGGAATCGCGGACACGAGGATCCTTACTGCAAACAGTTCTGAACATATGCTGCACCTGTGTGCGGCGACTTCAATTCTGCAAACCACCACATCCACCGTGCCTTCTCTTAACCATTTCACTTCCAACAAACTGAAAAAACATTATATTTACTGACAGGGTTTGCGACACGCTATGGCTCTGTCAGCCACATGTGGATGACATGGCAGTCAATGTGTTAAACTCTTGGACACAGACAAAGTTTTCTGAACCTTTTATGGATACCCTGTGCACATAGAAAAATGACAAGAAAAAATGCTTCATTTGACACTCTTGTCCTGAAAGAATTTCTGCTTATTGGTACCGAAAAATGTGTCGAGTAACACTTTCTGTAGCCAGACTCTTTTCACGTACGTCACTTGACACATGACCATCTGCTAAAACCTGTCTGAAAGTTTTCAATATATAGTCTATTCCTGTCAGGGTTACAGAGAAATCCATCCTCATATCACTTTCATCACACGAGCACGAACTGTTCATCACGCAGATCCGGGCGAAGGATTTGATCAGGCGGCGATTCCTTTATGTTTTTATGGATCCATTGGAGGAGGAGATGGGAGCATATCGGATCATTATCGAGCAGATGCGGATCGTCTTTCTTCAAAGGGGATTCCTCGCTCAATCTCCAAAAAATCAAACCTCTCTGACGCAGTAGGATTCACTCACATATATTTGTATATTACAAAATGTGCCATACTTGGGTCAAGATGAGAAGAGATTAGTTCTTTGTCATTAAATTAAACTAAATTAAATTAATTTTTTTGGCAGAAGGCTGGAAGTTATCTGTCTTGAATTCCCTCGGTTCTCTGAGTTCTCAGAAAAATGACAAGAGGAACGTGTCCGCAACAGAAATTTGGAGGGGGCTTAATATCCATTCCATCGCTGGTATGGTGACATAATTGATGCTCTCTCTTTTATGGCTACTCGACACGCTCCCGTCTAGACATACGCAGGGACATGAATGACAGTGTAAACATCACCATTTAGTATGCACAGCTAAGGAAATGACATAACGATAATTCAGGAAAACGCCAACGCCATGCAGAAAAATAATCGACGAGCGTTTCTTTTTTAGTGGTCTTTGGGTAAGGAATGGCAACTGCAATGGCAAATGGAATGGCAACTGAGTTCCATTTCTCAATTTCAAACCCATCAGAACTGGAGAAGCTCCTTACTCGGTTGGGAGGTTAAGCTTCAAGTACTCTCGCTGTTTCGCGAACAGACCCAAGTGAACCTTCATTTTACTTCTCGTCTCTTCCAAGAGTACAATTCCTGTCAGTTTTCGGATAATATAATAAGACTGCTTCCTTATCATCGAGTTGGGGAAAATTTTTTGTGATATTAGTCCTATCCTCAAATGACATTGCCAATTGCTTAACAGGCCCTTTAGGTCGAAAATTATTTAACTTTCTGGGTCAAGTGAAACAATTAGGAGAAGGGATTAGGAAGGAGGTTATTATGACTTCCCCATGAGAGTTTATCCTTCTTAGCCTGCACGTGAGCGTGTACTACAACCAGGCGTGTCCTTCGCCGTGTCCTCGTCCAGTGAAGGTGAACGATTGGTCCATCCACCGGGGATTCTCTTCTCTCCCTCCTCTGCCTCGACCCGAGAGTGCCTATCGGGACCTTCAGGGCCGCACTTTTCGCCTTCCTGTCATTCAAGTAACACAGTTTACGAATATACGATTTCGAATACCTGAGGAATGGTGTAGGTGTTCGCGTATAATCTTAAATTTGTTCGCGTATCTCGATTTTATCTCTATCATGGGTGCACAACATGCGCCCCGCGAAGCCCTTTCCCGTGTTCCGCCACGATAGGTGGCGATGTGCTACTATGGCCCCTGCCTTGTTGGCCACAGCTATGGAATCTATATGGAATCGGAATGGAGTAGTTGGGGTCCGTGGTAGGCGAATAAAAATCGTAAGTGGCCCTCACAGTCTTTCGCGTTGTGCACCCCTGATCTATATCATCCGTCTATATCTTCATCTTGAAAGTTTTTTTCGGACTGAAGCATCACGAGGCTGCTTGTCTTTTTTTTATTCCAGAAAGCTCCGTTTTATCGCTATGAGGTCGCCGAAAACGGGTCCATCCTGAACCCGAGAGGAAGCGATCATCAAGCAGTTGTTTTTCTCGCCCAAGCACTCAATTTCACGTCTGTTACACCTCCTGGATATTCATTTTGTTTGTGCTAGGAAAAGAAACACAAAAAGACACGAAGTTTGCGAGGTATGACCATGGGAAGAGGAAGATATATTAATAGACAAATCAATAACTAGTTTGTTATGACAACTGGAACGAAATCAAAATTTGAACGAAAGAGGGCGAATTTCGATCGAAAGTTCGAAGATCGAAAACTTTTCTCACGCCATTTTCACCCTTTGAGTGAAATGGATATGCAGTTAATCATTCTCACTTCATCACAGGTCCTTAACTATTTTTTATGTAGACATCTCGCTGAAAATCCAATAAATGGCATTAGTGGTCATAATATTTTACTGTCTCGTAATTATTTGCTTCAAAATAAATCATGTTGAATTATCCAGCACATGTATGATGAATCTAAAATCCACAGGAAGCATATCGATCATTTACGTGCCTACTAATCCAAACGTACAACATTGATGAAGTGAAATTCGATAGCTACTCTTAAATTTTGCCCAAAATGAAACTTCGTGTCGATTGAATAATATAACTATCACCTGACTATATGCTACCTAGCTTAAGTTGTCTTAGAAACAAAATAGCACCAAAATAGCATTGTTTCATGCTTCAAGCGTACTCGGTTAGAATTCCACTGGAATTCTAATTTATTATATCTAGTTATTACAAAATAATTAAATAATTATAATAATATAGCTAATTTATTCTATTTTCTCCTTGCTTATTAAGAAAGTTCAGCTGGGTGAAGGGTCTTCGTCACATTAAAAATTATTGGAAATTTAATGCGTAGCTCTGCCCAAAATTTTTGTTTACTCTCATTTGCTAATCCAAACAGGATTATCTTTAGTTTCCTTGGAAATTCGACAAACACCAACATTCTCCCTCCGTACTATTAGTCTTCCTGTGCTGCTTAAATTTTCATCAACGCTCCTGTGAAGTCCAAAAATGTTTGATGAGTTTGATGAGTAGCGCTAGCTGCAACCATTGTAGATGATTG